GGTGGTTAGGGTGAAGCGTATATGGGACTAGTGATGGGTTATGACTTCTTTGGCTTCTGAGCCACAGATTTGAATCCAGGCTGTCTTTTAAGTGACTGACATCAGGTAATGCGTGATGCTTTTCACAAAGAGGCAACAAAAGAAGCCTTTCCCCCTTGGCTACTCTTGCATGGGTAATGTTTCCCACTTGCAATGGGTTTTGATGGGGACACCACATCACTCTCTGCGTGACTTGGTAGTTTTTGTAGCATTCAGTACACTAGAAAATTAAACAGCTACCATGTCCATACATTCTGGAACACATTTTTTGAAATCCAAGTTTTGAGCTGCTGTTGGGAACATGCATTTGCTGGTTCACAGCTATGTGCTTCTCTTCAAACCATTTTATCTAGTGACACTTAAGGACTATAGCTAAGTTAATAAGCCACATTTTGTTTTACAGCTGCAGCAAGCTGAAAATGTTATAAAGTGTCTTCCATGCACTCTAGGTCACTTTAAGGTTGAGCTTAAGCTTAAAGTCCCTTGAGTCACCATTTGCAGCCACAAGATCTGCAGATAATGAGCAACTAATAATAGGTTAGATATGCATCATGATAGACACTGCAAAAATCAAAACCAAAATACTACTGCCACTTTCTGGAAACTGGATTAGTGCCTACACCCATTTTCAGTAGGCAGGGAAGACAACATTCCTGCAGATTTTTCCTTGCTCTGAGGAACTAGCAAGGTGAATATGCAACAAGGAGGAAATTGATGAAGGATCCATCTTGCAGTGGCAGAATCTACTGAAAAAAGGAAAGGGTGTACCTGAACCAACTGAGTCCTTTCTGAAGCCTTTTCATGTATGTTTAATGTTTGATATCTCCACATAAATTGTTGGCAATTACCAGACTTGTCTGACTGATGGAGACCCAAACCTCATTCCCTTCCATAAAGGTTGCACCGCTATACCTGAGAGCAAGATTTGGCTTTGCAAGTGGTTCTACCCACAGATGCAGCTGATGATACACACTCAGAATTTGGGGAGAATGCAAAATTCCCTGTAGGAAGGCAACCACCAGCCATGTAAACAAAGAAGCCTTCTGGATGTGCAGCAGTCAGCCCACTTGAGCTGCTGTTTCCATGGTTTACCAGAAGCTGTAAAACATTATTTCTTCAGGGAAAGAAGCTTTTCATACTCCTGCATTATCTTGTTTGATAGTGGGCAGTCACCAGGCTGGTACCTCACTGGAGGGGCCACATGCCCTAACCCTTTTCTAAGTTGTTGTTGATGATAATTCATATTCTACTGCTTCTAAATGAAGAAAAATCTCAGTGCTTTTTCTGACTTGGAACAGTATTACTGGCTATGCTTTTATACTTCATTATTACAAGTGATTGATAGGCTATGGTTCCTTCTGATGCACATGGTGTCATCCCATAACGCTATGCATAGTTTTTATTTTATTTCCTTTTATATTCCTAAAAAAATCAGAATACATATTATTTTCCCTGAACTATCTCCCTCCTTTATTGCTTTGTTATAGCTCCTATCTTACGTCTGTTTAAGCTACTGGATAAATGTGAGCAGGCACCATTTCTGAGTTTGCTTCCTCTCCTTGTTTTTACCCACTGGGTGATCTTGAGTCCGTGAGAGGTCTCTACCTCCATATTGTAGTAAAACAGTTGCTACTGATGGGCAAGTGCTTAGTTATCCTGTAGGCATTAAGTGCAATAGTGATTATAAACCCGGACAAACCTGTGATAGTGAGCGTTGGAGCAGATTGACTTCAGCTAGTATAAATAAGTCACCAAAAGCACTTACTAGGTTTGCTGTGTTTCAAACATGACTCATAGGAGGAGGAAGATGTTTTTAAGGTACCTGTCTACTGGAAGCTGTGTTCAGGGATGATTCTGCAAAATTGGCAGAGCTACATGGACATGGCATATCCTGTCACTGGATACTGAGACCGTCAGAGGTTCATTTGCCTTCCTTGTGGCTGTGGAGGAGAAACACAAGTGCCTCCATGCTGACCTCAGCTTCCTCCAGCTGAAAGGCAGGCCTTGGGTTGGAAGGGATGCATGTGTGATCCTTCTGCCTGGCCCGTGCTCCAGCTGCTGCAGCCTTGCAGGGCTCTGCCAGTGGTCTTTGCTCATGTTTCCTAGGCAGCCTTGCAAGACCTGCTCCAGGGTACTCCTCATGTCGTGTGCGTCCACGGGGGAGGCCAGAACAGTGGTGGGTCCCAGGGGCAGATGGCAGAGGCTGGCAGTGGTGTGTACATGTGAGCAGGACATCAGAAAGTATCCTGCAGTGTAGAGAACAAACACGTTTTTTACTCCTAAGGATGCTTTCTCACTATCTCTCCCAGATGTTCTTCAACTCCTTTCCTCCCCCCATCCTGCAGGCTTCTACTTATCACTGTGGGGAAGAGAACTAAGTGTGGTTAATTTGAAGCCAGTGTAATCATTTAGGAGACCTGGGGGTGGAAAAACAGTTATTGGTTAACAGGCCTGATTTGATATATGTTCTGCCTGACCCCTCTACTGTAGTGAGCCAGGAGCAGTGCTTCCAAGAAGCCAGATTTCTGGAAGGCTTTTTCACTGAATCATGTAAAGCTTAGGTTTCTTGTAAATGTTAATATCCTGCTGGCTCATTGGAATGCAGCTGGTGGATACAGAGTGCAATACCTACCTGCATGCCTGCAGCCCGAAGCAAAACTGAGCAGGAAAGGACCAGGCTGTAGTTTGGGATGTCCTCACTGAAGGCTCAGGCTAGGAGGCAAGCAGGCTGGAAGGCAGACCTGGTTTGGCACTACCTTACAGGGCTGGAAGTCCCTCTGCAGCCCGTGCCATGTCCTGCCCGGTAACCTCCGGCAGTGCCCCATGTCCCTCGGCACAGGCTGGAGTCAGAGGGCACCGAGGGCCGGAATCCGCTCCCGGGCAGAGCGGTCAGAGGGCACCATGAGCTGAGCTGGCTCCATGCAGTCCCAGAGCAGTGCTTGGGGAATGGCGCTGGGGGGAATTTGGCCCCAGGATTTCCCCTGGCATCGGCAGCAGAAGGCAGTAGGCAACCTTTGTAAGGCTGAAATCGTAACCATCGCGGGCTGAAATCCTGCAGCTGCTGCTGCTGCAGGTCAGGGGCAACGTGTGTGTACTTTTCTTCCCCCCTTGGTGCCTGCAGATAAAAGCCTTTATGAGTTAGCTGTATGTATTTATGGTATCACAAAGACTTTGTCCACCTTAGTTTTTGTGTGCTAATGGATGAGGCTTTTCTGTTTACCTTCGTAGTAAGGTATTTCTCAGGTGAGCATATGTGTTTTTTCAGGCAATCCTCTAAACCACCTCTCTAATAATTCTTTTCTTTTGTGTATTTTCTTACACACCATCCCGTGGTTTAGCTTTTTGTAGCTTGAGGAAAACCTAAAGTTCTTGCCATAATCTAGAGACATACTGTCTTGTAGAATATATAGGTTACAAGTTCAGGATCAAAACAAAACAAAAAACCCCAAACAGCTCCTGCAATAAGAATTAAAAACTCTAAAAAGCCCTTATTGAAGGGATTTTTAAGAAGAGGACTGTAGGTGATGGCAAGTGCATTGCTAATTTGGATGATAAATAAGCACCCAAGGGTGATAAGTAGGAGAACTACTTTTAATCATCAGGTTTTCTTTCCCTTAGTGTGATAAAAAGCTCCCAAAGCATACTTATATCACATGGTCTTGTTTATTTATGTCTGCAGTTAATGTATTTACAATAGTTCATATTGTTCTAGCTAATATTCTGCAGTATGTCATAAAAAATAAGAAAGATTCAATATGAGGCATAAGAATTCTACTTTGTTAGTGAATTTTCTCTAAAGAATGAAGATACATCACAATAGTCTTTCTTGAATGAATATAAGTGCAGATTAATGCAGTCAAATGTGTTATTTTTCCACAGACAAGTTACAAACACAGTGCAGTTATTATTCTCAAATATTGCATTTAAAAAACCCAACACATTTTTTTTTTTTTTTTTTCCCGTTCACTTTGGGGATACATTTTGCACACTTTCTTTCAGATTAATCAATTTTATTTCATTTAAGGCACTTAGAGTTTAATATAGTGGCGGGTTTATTTATATAAATAGATGCCAATTTTTATCAATTATGAACATGAGACACATAGTAAAAATTTTGAAAGTTGGTTAAAATAAACCTGCTTACTATTCTGCAGAGTGTCCCAGGTCACTCAGGTTTAGCCTTGTGCTAAACTCCAACCTTACAGGTTTGCATTGTTGTTGTTTTTTAAATAATGTAACTAAAACCAAAACAGGACAACATTTCCATATATTCTGTATTTCTCTTGTATGTAAGTCATAAGGTTATTTGGTTATTACTTTCTTTGTCAGTTTTTTCAATTATGAACATGAGACACATAGTAAAAATTTTGAAAGTTGGTTAAAATAAACCTGCTTACTATTCTGCAGAGTGTCCCAGGTCACTCAGGTTTAGCCTTGTGCTAAACTCCAACCTTACAGGTTTGCATTGTTGTTGTTTTTTAAATAATGTAACTAAAACCAAAACAGGACAACATTTCCATATATTCTGTATTTCTCTTGTATGTAAGTCATAAGGTTATTTGGTTATTACTTTCTTTGTCAGTTTTTCCAGCCACACACAACAAAAAAAAAAAATAAAAAAAAAAAAAAATTAAGAGTCAGGACCCCAATAATGAAATTTGCTTTGAAAAAATAATAATAAAAAATTACATGGTAACTTTTGGGGGCATAAACCTGGTGAAAACATGTTTACTGTTTTTCTGTGACTTTCTTGGGGTTGGGCTTGTTTGGATTTTTTTCAAGCATCATTTCTGGACATCCTTGGTCACAGATGGGCAATGAGAGAAAGCTGAGGTTATGAGTCCATACCATGGCTCTCCTAGTTGAGGTTCAGAGCTTTGGTGTGATTGTTAACAACAGTGTATAATAGAGTTTATGTTAAGGACTGTTCTAAAGTACTTTGTTGTTTTTCTTTTATCCAGGGCTTTTGGGAAAACCACACAAAACTCATAACGGAGTATGGACCTGTTTGTGGGTAAGTTTAGCAGCTTCCTTGTTTTCTGGCTCTTGCTGCTTTGGTTTCTTGGGCAGGAGAGGAGAATATGCCAGAGAAGATGTTAATCAAAATGCAGTGTGGTGTTTCATCTGGGGGACAGAGGTGGAGGTTGTTTGATTATGTGCACAAGGTAACTTTGGCTTATTTTACTTCAGCATTTGGTGTTGGACTTCATTCTTCTCTTTGTAATTTTTATTATGCACATAAAGTTCAGTCCTTTTCAGAACTGTACAAAGCTAGCAGCCTTCAATATTCTCTTTTCATCTCCATAATCTTCATATTTATGGTGACCAGTGGAAAGAATTTAACAAAAAACCTAGTTTATGAAAAAGTATGAATTTGGTTCAGTTGTTGCTATCTGTATTTATGCAAAATTTATAGACTTAAAATTCAATTAAGCACAGATTAGAAATGAGGGGTTCTTCTCTCTATAACTGATCTGTGCTATCTTATTTATTAGAAGTAAAGAGGATTTAAGAACTATATTCCTTCATACAAGCCCTTCTGCATTTCTTCTGTGTAATTTCTGTTCCATGAACTACTTCCCAGTTGTCATAATTTTAAGAGGAAATGCAGTTATTTCATTGCAGCTTCTATTGTTGTGTTCAGTTGGTGTTTCTAGCACAACTATTATTTCAATATGTAAGTATCAAGCAATATCCACAAAGTACAGACAATGTCATTTTTTTTTTTTCCTGTACTGCAAGACACTTCTAAGAGAGCATATATGAGTGTGTTTGTGCATATTTGATCATAAATTATATGAATACACCTTGCATGTTCTTCCAGCAAAAAAGCTCTATGAGAAAGAAGTTAGACTCAGGCATACAAAGCATTTGATGCTCCAGTCACAGCGGCCTTGCAGCATTTATGCTCAGCCCCTTAGACAAAGTGCTTCAAGAACTGATGGAAATAATGAATTCCATGGGTTAGGTACTTGTCTAAGAGGAAATAATACAATATCTGGGCTGGCCAGGAACAGAGAAAGATATTCATTAACACTGTGGCAATTTGTATGTTGTGTAACAAACGGAAAATGACTGAGGCTTATTATCTCCGTGACCTTTGGTGTGATGCCCTTAAATGACAATAATGTAAGAACACTGGCATTCATTCCTCAGTGTATTTCTCTCCTTATTAATATGATAACTATATATATATATATTTTTTTTTTTTTACCTGAATTCAAGACAAGTTGCTATTTAGTCATCTGTTTGCTCACTCTGCCAGGCAGAGGCTGTGTCATCGGAGAAAGAGACACATAATTACAGCGTGTGAGCAGACAGAAAGTTTCTTTTTTCCAGTCTACCCACAGCTGTTAGGAAATGAAACCTGTGAGACTTGCATGGGCTGCAAAGCTGGGTGATGGTTGTAGTGGTCAGCCAGGACAATTCTGCCTCCTTGGGAATCACCCAGGTAGGAGGAGTGAGCAGACTGATGGCAACTTTTACACAGCCATTTATTGTGTGGAGGAAAAGCTCAATTTGTGAGGGATCTAGGAGGCCAGCAGAGAGTAAATGCTGCTTTTTCATATCTCTCAGGGAAACAAAGCTGGACTCAAACATTGCTATGCTCGAGGTGAGCTTTATTTGTAGTTGAAGAGGGATGTTTTAAAGCCTGACTTGCGAGTTGCTTTTCAATAGGTGTGGTATGTGTCTGGAGGTATTTATCATGGTCCTGTCAATTAAAGACATTCCTTCTCCTTTCCTGTATGTCTTCTGTGTGATTCTTTCTGTGGTTCTTTGAAATAGATAATACATGGTAGGAGTGTTTGTGTGTCTGGCCTCAGCAAAGTATTGGATCTGGCAGATGGAAGAAGATGTGGCATTTTGCTTTTTCCAGATTGAAGACTGCTTTCCAATAAGCATTAAGAGCAATGATCTTTATTTCTACAGTGGTGAAGTGAGGTGAATACAAATCTTTGGAATTGAAGCTTTTTTTTTTCTTTCTAAGGTCACTTGAATAGTCTGAATGATACCATCACAACTGTTTTCTTTTGTGTGTGAATTGGTTTCCTTGACAACAGGATGTCAAATCAACTTTTCAGCTTTAATCAAGTCAAAACAATATATCCCTTCCATTCCAAAAGGCCTCAAGTCATAGAGAATTATTTCAAGTAAGGCTTTTGTAGGTCACAAAAGCATTTTTTTCTTCACTCCCGTGTGTGGATCCAAAGGAGAGGTGATGGTATTACTCTTTCATAAAAAGAGACAATGCAAATATTCTTCAGTTGTGTGTGCTGTGAAAACTGTCTGTTTTCATACAAGAGAAAGCCCAAGATGGAGGCCAAGGCAGAAACAAACAGCTTTAGTTTGGTGCAAAAGTAGAGTTGGAACATTTCTGTTTAACGAGGGGATCCAAGCAACTGATGTGTCTTTTGAAGAGCTCCTGCAACAGATGGGTAGTTTTTGGTTCAGCTACAATTTGATGTATCTTCTGTAAAAATGTCTCCTGTACAATATAAGTGTTGGTTCTCTACAGAAAAAAAACACAAACCAAACAAAAAAACCCACAACAACAACAACAAAACCCCCTATTTGGAAAGCAACTTAATGATACACATTAAGATTTATATTGTCCTTTTTTGTGGGAAGAGATTTGCAGCAAAGTAGTCTTGGTTTCTGTGGAAATTAGTTACTTATGTCACTTATTTTTTTGATTAACTGATGTTTTCACAGAGTCACTTAGGTTGGAAAAGACCTTCAAGATCATCGAGTCCAACCATTAACCCTACTCTACCAAGTCCAGCATTAAGTCACGTTCCCAAGTGCTGCATCTAGATGATTTTTAAATACATCTGAGGATAGTGACTCAACCACCTCCCTGAGCAGCATGTTCCAATGTCTGAAAACCCTTTCAGTGAAAAAGTTCTTCCTAATGTCTGGTCTAAACCTTCCCTGGTGCAGCTTGAGGCCATTTCCTTTTGTTCTATCACCAGTTACTTATGAGAAGAGATCAGTGCCTACCTCTCAACAACATCCTTTCAGGTAGTTGTAGAGGGCAATGAGATCTCACCTCAGCCTTCTTTTCTTCAGACTCAACAGCCCCAGTTCCCTCAGCTGCTCCTTATAAGACTTGTCCTCAAGACCCTTCACCAGCTTTGTTGCCCTTCTTTGGACATGCTCCAGCACCTTGATGTCTTTCTTGTACTGAGGTGCCCAAAACTGGACGCAGTACCCAAGGTGTGACCTCACCAGTGCCACGTACAGAGGGACGATCACCTCCCTGGTCCCACTTGCCACACTATTTCTAATATAGGCCAGGATGCCATTGGCCTTCTTGGCCAGCTGGGCACACTGCTGGCTCTTATTCAGCCACCTATCCATCAGAGCCCCCAGGTCCCTTCTGCTGGAAAGCTTTCCAACCACTCTTCCCCCAGCCTGTAGCATTGCATGGGGTTGTTGTGGCCCAAGTGCAGGACCCAGCACCTGGTCTTGCTAAACATCATGCAACTGATTTAGGCCTATTGATCTAGTCTGTCCAAGTCTCTCTGTAGAGCTTTTGACCCTCAGGAAGATCTACACTCCCTCCCAACTTGGTGTCATCTACAAACTTAGTGAGGATGCATTCTATCTCCTCATCAAGATAGTTGATAAAGATGTTAAACAGAATTGGTCCCAACACTGAGCCCTGAGGAACATCAGTTCTGACTGGCCACCAGCTGGATTTAATTCCATTCACCACCACTCCTTGGGCCTGGCTGTCCAGCCAATGTTCTACCCAGCAGTGCATACACCCATCCAAGCCCGGAGCAGCCAGGTTTTTCATCAGAATGCTGTGGGAAACAGTGTTAAGGGCATTAGAAAAATCCAGCTAAACAACATCCACAGCCTTTCCCTCATCAACCAGGTGGGTCATTTTGTCATAGAAAGGGATCAGGTTCATCAAGCAGGACCTTCCTTTCATAAACCTGTGCTGACAGGACCTGATCATCTGGTTGTTCTGTATTTGGTGCATAATGGGACTCAAGATGATCTGCTTCATGATCTTCCCTGGCACTAAGGTCAGACTGACAGGTCTATAGCTCCCTGGATCCTCCTTTCAGCCTTTCTTGTGAATGAGTACCACATTTGCTACCCTCCAGTCCACTGGGACCTGCCCAGTTAGCTAGGAGTGCTGGTAAATGATGTAAAGAGGCTTGGTGAAAGCATCTGCCAACTCTTTGGTATTCTTGGGTACAACCCATCTGGTCCATAGACTTATGGATATTTAGGTAGTGTACCAGGTCACTGACTATTTCTTCCTGGATCACAAGAGTCTTATACTGCCCCATTTCCCCATTTTCCAGCTCAGGGGACTGGGTGTCTAGAGAACAACCAGCTTGACTGCTAAAGACTAAGGCAGAGAAGGCATTTAGCACCTCAGTCTTTTCCTTATCCTTTGTCACTATGTTTCCCCCTGCACCCAATAAAGGATGGAGATACTCCCTAGTCTTCCTTTTGTTATTAATGTGTTTATAGAAAGATTTTTTATTGTCTTCGACAGCAGTAGCCAAGTTGAATTCAAGCTGGGTTTTGGCCCTCCTAATTTTCTCCCTGCATTGCCTTACTACATCTCTGTATTCCTCATGAGATGCCTCTCCTCCCTTCCAGAGGCCATAAACTCTCTTTATGACACTTTATTTTCACCTGTTCAATATAAAATTGTTCCATTTCTATCTTAGGTTATGGCCACTGGTCGGAAATAGGTGGCAAGAGCAGAAAGAGAAACAAAGAGCTTCTGGGTTGAAGAGGAGAAATAGAGGGGCAGACTACAATATACGGAACCAGAAAAGCAACTGCTACAGCATGAGTACAGCTGTAGAGGCAGGGAGTTAATTTTTACATTATATGCACACTTTGTATGCATTTGACCACTCTACTGTGATTGCATCATTCTGACTTTACACCACTGTAAGCATGTTTGGCTGAGTTGGAGTTGGAGGATAGTGCCAATATAAGAAACATTCTTGGCCCAACAACATGCCATGAGTGAAGGAA